GACGTCACGGGGGCTCACCTGTTCTTCACGAGCCAGTAGTCCTGCCCCTGGTCGGTGCCGTACCCCACCACGAGCACAGCGTGGTTCACCTTCCCGCTGTTACACTGGGGGTCGTAATACACGCCTGCTCCACGGACGAAAAAAAACAACAGAAACGGCATTTTGATTCAACCATGTACCCCAAGCCAATGTTAAGTCTCAAAGCGCTTAACAATGGCACGTTCCAAGAAAGCAAAACACCGTACAGTACGCATAAGCGCACAAGCCCTCCGTCTCCAGAGAAAAAAAGGTACCCCCTGTCGTGTGCGAGATCAAGTCGGATGGATCTGTGTTTCACGCTGAACTCGTCGGAACGCACAGCCGCGAACTACAGCTACAGCTACCGCGCATTTTCACTGAAATGCAACATGACACAATCGGCACAGGCTGGTTTGGTATCGGGGCCAGAGGAAAAGAGTTTCCACGTGTTGTGAAACTCGGACACTGGTGAATCCTGCATAACAGGGCTTGCGTGCTCTTGGACTGGGAGAGTTTGAAACTCCCACTTGACTTCTGTGCCAAGAGATGACGTGTTAAGAAAACTTTGGAAGAGCTTGAGGCTTATCTGTCTTGTAGCAGAACAGTGCCTCTCTGTCTCTTGGTCTGCCTCTCTGTCTCTCTGTGTCCCTCCTGTCTCTGTCCCTCTCTGTCTCTCCCGTCGTTATGTCCAAGTCTCTGTGTCTCTCCTGTCGTTATGTCTCTCTCGTCTCTCTGTCCGTCTCTGTGTCTCTGTGTCTCTCCCACTCACCTCCTCTGTAGTTATGGAAGGAGGGCAGCTGGGCGTTGATGCCCACAGATACAGGCCCGGTGGTGGCGACGGCCGCCTGCAGAGCCATCTCGTTCCCGAAGGGCAGGAGCCGGAACCCCGCGCAGGTGGCAGCCCTGCCCTTAACCGAGTAGCGACACTGTCCTTCCTGTAGGGGGCAGCAGAGGGCGGGGGGGGGAGTTAGAAAGCTTGAGAACACAGACCTAACAGAGGCCCCAAGAGCCCGCTGAGCCTCTGACCATTCCCTTCAATCAGGGGGTCCCAGTCTATGCCCCTGGGGCGCCCTGCCCTCACGCCCACTGGCCTCCAGGCCACTTTCACACTCGGACCCCCTGGCTGACGTCTGACTTCCGGCCCTTAACACATTCCTTTTCCCATGCCCATTCCGGGACTGCATGGAAAATCCCCCCCAGAACCTTTGAGTAGACAAAGCAGGGGGGGGGGAGAGACGACAAGTTGCAAATGTTCGAATCAAGCAGTGTGGAAGCTCAGTGAAAGCAGCAGCACCAGGACTCTCTCAGAGAAGCAGGGCCTGGCTCCTCCACCTCACGCCACTGTCACACTACACGACGTTTCCCGAGGGATCCCTCCCGCTGTGTGTGAATGGCTCTGGAAAGGAAAGTCCCATGCAGCTGTGATGGATGAGAGAGCCAGTCCACAGCTATCCCAGTGCCTGTTAGCGAGCTCCGACTCATCGTGAGCCTGTGTCATCCTGGATCTTGGCCTGCAGTTGCTCCTGCTGAGCTCAGCGAGCTGGAATGAATCTTCGCCGCCTGGAGCGGACGCCTGAAGTGGACGTTTCTCCCTTCCAAACGGGGGTTTGGTTGGAAACTGTCTCCAAATGAGGGTTCAGAATCAGATAAATCGGTAGGAAGCCCATCCAGCGATTTTCTAACTGCTTGCTCCGATTCGGAAGTTGCTGGGGAGCCCGAGCCTATCCCAGGTGACGGGAGCAAGGAAGGACGCACCCAGGATGGGACACCAGTTTGCCGCAGGGCGGGCAGCCAGACCACTCGCACCAGAGCGAGTTTTCCCAGAAGCCAATTCACTGGGGCAGGAGACCAGAGCACCGGGCCGAAGACCATGCAAACTCCACACAGACAGGTCCGGAATGGCACCCAGGGCCCCAGCGCAGCGAGACGCAGACACACAGGCGTTCGGGAAGAACCCCCCCTCCTCCTCACCTTGAACTCGTAGGGGTAGAAGCTGTCGGAGTCCAGGCCCTCGTTCTGGACGACGTACTGGAAGGCCTTGGAGAGGTAGCCGCCGTTGCAGCCGTGGTTCCCGTAGCTCCGGCTGCAGTCCACCAGGTTCTGCGGGCTGAGGGACACCAGGCGGCCCGTCCGCTTCTTCATCCGCGCCTCCAGCGCCCCGGCCGAGCTGAAGGCCCAGCAGGAGCCGCACGAGCCCTGCGGGGACACGGCGGAGGGGCGGAGGGGGGGTTCGGAGCGTCTCGCGGAACCCCGAAACTCCCGAGGTTCCGCTCGTTCGCCGAAACACGGAGGAGTTTTGCGAAAGTCTCGCATTCGTCCGCTTACTGTAGCGTGCAGAAGTCTACATCGTTTTTTTCTTTGTTTTAAGCGAACCCTGTCTAGGCTGTGTTTTGTCTTGACCTATCAACCTGGACACAGCAGGTGCTGGTAGAATAGGCAGCCCCACGCGGAGAACAGCGTGGAGGACAGAGTGAAAATATCTCTGCTGCTTAAATGTGCATCGGCAATAATTTCCGGTGGAAACAAACCCGCTATCATTTCTATAAATCCATATATCAAAAACATTAAAAAAACACGCAACAGGAGCGTTAGCCAACGAGTTCCCACTTTCTGTCTCTTTCTGGCAGTGGGCGAAACATACCTGGCTTTTAACGTCAGACACCAGCCCGTTTTTCCGCCAGTCGACCGTCGGCGGAAGGGCGCCATCTAGCGGCAGAGCCACGGTCAGGTTGGCATCGAGGTCCTCGGGCACCAGGAGCCCGTTCAGCCTGGCGTCCACCTCCTCCGGCGTCTGGGCGAGCGCAGAGACACGCGTCAGTTTCCACGCGGGGGGCACGCGGGGGGCACACGGGTCTTGCGCGCGGTTCGTGCGTTTCTCGCGGAAATAGTTCCCCTTCAACACGAGCAACGGATTTGAAATATCTTGTCACACATCGGACGTTGCTTTCACGATTTTTGTGACCTAAATTCGATCGATCGGTTCTGGCCAGAATCGCCTCCCCCATTTTATTAGATTATATTTGCAAAAGTACCTTTTTAAATATGACTTTTCATTAAAAAAAATAAAATTCTTGGGGTTCTAAACGGTGGGGGGAAAATGAACCACTGTTCCAATTAAGCAACTTATTCAATTAAGACTTCAATTAAATAATTAGACACAACGAACACCAACAGCTGCGCGCATGTAGGCTCCCGGGACAAGAGGATTTTCAGGCATCTAGTAATAATTCGTTTTGGAGAGTTAATTTTATGTACTGTATATATTTATTTTATAGCTATAGTTCAGTTCATATGATTTGCTGCACGTATTGAGCCGTTAAAACACAGGGGATTGAGAAGGATAGGACGCACCGTTTTTTTTAAATTATTTTCTTTTTACAGCACGCGGGGGTGGGGAACTCCAGTCCCGTGACATAGGACTGGTCCCGGGTTTTCAATCCATCTCTGAGCTCCGCGCCTTAACAGGATTAGTGAAGTGAATGAGGTGTCCAGTCAGATGGGGATTCGAGGCTGTAATCGGGTGGTAGTCGAGAGAACCGGGCTGGGGCTCGCGGTCGCCTAACCCCTGCCGCGTCACAATGGTTACCATGTCAGCCAGGTGGTTGAGTCCCATGGTGAAGGAGTGCAGGCCCAGCGAAGCCTCGAGGTTGTGCAGCTCCGTCAGCCGCAGATTCGTCTCCCAGTTCAGCCTCCTCTCGCCCTCCTCCCGCTGTGGAGACAGAGAGAGACGCGTGCGTTGGCGTTTCCCGTGTCTGTGCGCTGGAGCTCTGTTGCTGTGGGCTGTTCCGTATCCCCCGTTCCCCCCACTCGAGTCGAATCGGTCTCGGGTGAAAATTAGACTCCGGACACATAGTTTGGCACTTTTAATTTTTTTTTAAAAAGAAGCCATTGTGTAAAAGTAATGTAAAAGTCGTTCGCATTTTGAGGGACACGCCCAAATCGTTAGTTTTGGCGATGTCAAGAATGTTTTTGTCAAATTCTGTTTCTGCATTGATAGTAATAAGGAAACAGGTGCGCGTTCAGAAGGAGAACAGAAATCATGTAAAAGGTACTCTGAACCTCATAATTTGCAGAACTTCCCTACTGAATTACATCGGTCCCACACACGTGTGGAAGTCGCAGTTCAGGGTTCTGTTTATTTATCACGCAGAAGTGCAATGAAATGGTTATTTGCAAGTGTGCTCCAGTACAAAGACAGTGAAGAGCCACCAACAATCTGTGTGTAGCCATACATAACAATTGCTGTTGTTAGTTGCTATTTATCAACACAGTTAAACAACACTGAAATAAAACACAGCACAAGCAGTGTGTAAAGATCAGGTGACTTTATGATGCACCCATATAGAGAACTGAGTGCTTTTGTGTTTATTTTTAGGAATTCCACCGAATCAGTGGCAGCTTATTTTTTCCCCTAAAAACAGAAGTGTGTTGTGCGAGTGTTAATAGGAGGTTGAGGGACTGTCCCCAGGTGGTGGATAAACACTGCTATTTATTACTAGATTTCAGTCCCTCCCTGTTTCTTACCCCATTGGTCATCTTTAATTACTTTATTGAATTAATTCTGAGGAAGGCAGTGGAACAGTGGTGAGGCGCTCTGCATTGCTGCCTCACAGCGCTGGGGTCCTGGGTTCGATTCCGGACCTGGGGTGCTGTCTGTGTGGAGTTTGTATGTTCTCCCTGTATTTGTGTGCATTTCCCCCAGGTGCTCCAGTTTCCTCCCATAGCTCAAAGCCATGCTGGTGGGGTAATTGGCTTCTGGGAAAACTTGCTCTGGTGGTGCGTGCGGGCATGTTGCCGGTTTGTATCCTGTGGCCAGCAGAGAAATCCTACTCCATTGGGCCCCTGAGCAAGGCCCTTCACCCCAGCTGCTCCGGGGGCGCTGTATAAATGGCTGACCCTGTGCTCTGACCCCCAGCTTCTCTCCCTGTCTGTGTGTCTCATGGAGAGCAAGTTGGAGTATACAAAAAAACAAATTCCTAATACAGAAAATTGTATATGGCCAATAAAGATCTGATCTTATCTTATCATGCCTGTGTCTGTGCTGTGTGATGGACTAGCAGCTCATCCAGGATGTGTCCAGGATGTGTCCTGCCTTGCAGCCATTGCTTTCGGACTTTTCAAGTCTTAATGAGTTACTAATTGCAAAGTGGCCATGATATCTATATTGCCCTGACCATGATGAAGTTGCCCAGTGCCCAGTGTGCCAGCCCATCTATCTGTCCTCTGTCTGTCCTGAACCAAAGACACTACAATTCCCAGAATGCTGTTCTGAAGCCTTACCTGGCTGCTGTATTCCTTATGGTGGAACTTCTTCCACATTTCCCAGTGCTGGCTCAGTAAGGGATTAGGGGAGGCGTGGCTGAAGGCCGGGAGGACCAATAGGAGAAGAATCTGGAGGCAATGCATCCTAGTAGACCAATAGGAAAGGAAGGAGAGAGGGGTGAAAGGTCAAAGTGGGTCTTCAATCTGTAACTGGCATGACATCACGTTACACAACGGGGTGTTCGAAACTGCTAACTTTGTTCATAATGTTCTGAAGGGAGCTGTTAAGATTGGTAGGAATGGACTTTCTGTTTTATCTGTGAGGTTTATTTGCATTAGAAAGTGCCCTGGCAACCATGGAGTAAAATCTGTATCAAAGCCAAACAAGCCAGAACCAGTTCTTCAGCTGCTGTCCCCAGTGTGATTACATTGAGGATGGGAGTTAAAATATGTGCTGTGTTACTTTGCATCCATCTGGTGGCACCAGCTCTAGAGTGAGTTAAGCTTTACGCTTATATCTTATATCTAATGACATCCTAATTTTGGAGGTGTTAATACCACAGGCCTGCTTGTGAAACTGCTGCGGTAGCTGTATGTTAGCATTGCCCAGCACAGCTCAAGTCCATTTGCAAGCCCGCTCTGGTGTTGAGTTCATTAAGGCCCTCGGTGTGATTTTACAGTGGTCTGTGTTTGATAGGACCTGCATTCAGAAACATACAGGATCGGCAGCACAATCACTTTGTTTCTCAATTGCAGCACATGAAACTTCAGAGAGCATGTTTTTAAAAGCTTTTTTTGCAGAGAGCGCTCATGAAGTGGTTTCTGTGCATTTTTATGTAGAAGATCTGGCTTTTTTACATTGTTTAAAACGTGGTTTGGGCACATTATTGTGCAACATACCAGCCAGCGGGTTAATCTGCAGAAGATCAACAGTGCCCTTTGCAGCAGTAACGCGTGTATGGAGATCGATTCTGATAAACTGGTGCAGTATGCGTGTTTCTTTCTCAAGCTGTACTTCCTTTTTCTGAAATGCTGGTTGGGACATTTTTTATCTGTTAATCGTTTTGTTCACAAATTTGCCGACACGTTTGATCCAGACGTTACTGTGCTGCAAGGTTCCCGACAACATGAGTAAGGATTTGATGTGTTGTCTGAAGGAAGGAGGAAAGGAGGGTCCAGGGAGTGGGTGGCAT